CACTAAATCCAAAACACAGCACTATACCAACTACTAAGAAGAAAATTAACTCTATCCCAGCAGAAACCAGGACACAAGCACACAACATAGCCCAGCACAAACAAAGCTGTACCGTGCTTAGAACTCAGGTGGCCTCAGGAGCTTTTATGTCTCTACCGCAAAATCCTCAGCCCAAGGATTCAGTGGTCTTTGATCCAAGGTCTGTGCCAGCCCAGCACTATGACCTCATCTCATTTTACAGAAAAAATTGTTGTGACAAAGCATATAAAATAAGATCATGAGGGAAAGTAAAAGAAGTAAACACACACATGGACATTGAATTGTTGAGATGGTAGTAAGTTAGCAGCTCAAGGAATTTAGAAGAAAATTACTCACATAAAAAGGTTATAACTCTAAGAAAAAAGCAAGAAACAAACACTTAAGATGAGCCATTCCAACGAAGGCAGGCCAGCCCTATCCCACCTGACTGCCTGGCCAGCACAGAGTCGGTAGGTGTCTTATAGAGAATGATAGTAATGCTTTGTCAAGTAGGTCATAAGTCCTCACTCTCTACGGAATATATTAAGGAAGAAATAATAGCTCTTTACTTTTACTTTGCATACAACTTGCTTGCAGAGTCTCTCTGCACATGGTTAAAGCAGACCCTCCTCATGAGCTAGGAAGGGAGAATTAACAGCTGTCATAATCTCACAGACAATCTGTGATCACCTGGACCCAAATGCTGTTTGGCAACAAGCATCTAAGTATATGAATCTGCAGTGGCAGTACTGCTACAAAAAGCACACCAGTGTTAGCGCATTGGAAACCAACTTTGGAATAGGAAGGAAGGAAGACTGCACCAGCTGATACACAGAAGATTAACAGACACATCTGCTCAAAGATAAAGAGAAACCTGAATTCTACAGAAACAACCATCTTAGGCCCACAGCTTGGTGGAGGGAGGGTTGCACATGCCTTTGCTCACCAAACACTCACTTCTGCTGAAGTTACTGTAACACACACATTTTTAACCTACAACCTATGCCAGGCACATGCTGTCTCCAGTGTTACTGAAAAGAAAGTCACTAAGATAGAAGAAAAAATACTCCCCATGCATGTTTCACAGACACACGTGTGTAAAACACACACACTTTAGAATTTCAGCATCTAGAATTGGTTCTCAAACATCTGTGAAACATACTAAACTAGCAGGGGCAGCATCTGGTATCAGTGTAACTGTACGGACAAAGGGTCAGAAATTAAGAAGTTCCAGACAGACAAGGGTTTGAAAAAGAGGGACAGAGAAGGAATCAGTCTTCTGTGTTCTCCAACTGACCACACCTCCATAATCTCAATCCCTTATCACAACAGAAATCCCTTGCCACAAGCTGTTCGCTTCACTCTTATTTTGATCTCATGTTCACACAACCCAGACACCCCAGTTTAAGGTCATGACCTTCAGACAGGGAAGGTCAAATCAACTATACAACCTTTCATAAAACCTCCTTCCTTCAAAAAGCCAGATGTAAAACTTTGATAAAGAGCAGCTGAGTCCCAATGCAACAACAGCACAGTAAATGACGAGATGCCTTTTAGGATCTGAATACTTCAAACCGAGCAAGGCAAGCCCAAAACCCAATCAATTAACTAATATTAATTAGCCCCATAATAAAAGGAGAAGCAAGGTAGTGCTACACTCTTATCAACTTGTATCATAATGATCATTTTTCATGGGAGCTACCCATATCTTCTGCAGGTGAAAGAAACAGTGATATCTTTAGTAGTAAGATTTATTAGCAACTGGATCAAGCTACATCTCAGTAATAATTCTGAATCACATTTTTGCAAAGAAAGTCTGTTAGGAATTTTACAGCCTGTATCAAAACTGATAGAACTGAAAGAAAGTGGAGCAAAGGGCCACACTGAACATTTGTTATTACGACATTATTACGAGGTTCACTCACAATCACAAGATACACTGCCAGTGTTTCTGCTCTCTCATTGCTTTTTTCAATGATATCACTGAAGAACTATAAGAGGCATTCTGCTCACTATGCAAAGAGATCCAGAAAAACATCCGTACACAAACACTGGTCTGTTGGGTACTGCTGCATTATTTCATGACAGAACACAAAAAACACAAAACGAATCTTGTGCCAAAGCTTGCTTTTTTAAACCATAGAAAGTAATCTGCACAGCACTGGACCAAAGCTCTACGTACCTTCTGAGCAACTTTTGGGCTAGTGTCCCCAGACTGAAGAGGGTTTTTCAATTCCGAACTTCTGCCAATAATACTGGGACATTTTTCCGAACTCAGAGATTCTTTCTCCCGAAAACTATCCTCCCGGACTCTGTTACACTGCTGGTCTGAATCACTGCAGAATTCTCTCAGTCTGTCTAGCGTTTGCAAACATATACGGGGCTTTTCACACTTCTGTGGTTCCTCTTCAGTGAAAATACACAACAAAAACATATTAGCAACTTATTTTCTAAAACAGAATGTCAATTAAAATGACATCAGTAAGCAGAGAAGGCAACCATTTTACTCTGGCTCTCTCTTCCCTACATTCCTTCTCCTCTCCCATTGCAGTATTTCTGCCAGCCTGACAGAATTGTGCATATAACCAGCTTGGTTAACTCCCCTGGAAAACCAATACTCCTCACTTGTATGCTTCTTCATACATGGGAAAAGAAGCACAATTATTTTCTGGACTGATAACTGCAAAGCCACAAAATTAGCCAACAATGTTGGAAAATGAGTGGTATTTTTCAGTACAGTTTTTAAGCAGACAGTATTGTTAATGGTGTCTTAATGATACTTCAAACCATCACACCCACAAAACTGAATATAATTCCCTCTTCAAAAAAAATTATAAAGGTTAATTCTTTTCAATGAAGCGTAAGTGTAATGAACTTTATATTCACCGATTTGTTTTTTTGCTAGCATCATTAATTTATTAAATTCTTGGTTCAAAGCCAGATGGAGCACAGGCATTTTCAGTGTAATTAAGTGGCTGTCATTTCACAGTTAAGAGCACTGCACTAGAACTATTTACTTTGAGGTAGCCTTTAGGTATCCCAATCACAAGCCAGACTCAACAGAGCCGTCAGGTGCCAGTCATGGTTCAACATGAGTCTAAAAGACAGAGCGTTAAAACAACACAGAAAGGGAAGTTGCAGCATTTCTGCCTGGGCGTCTGGACTTCACTGACTGAACCACCTGTTAAAGCTGAGTCAGCTGAAGGGGATTTGCAGAGTAATTCTGGAGCAATACCTAGCTTCTGAGCAACAGAAAGGTGCTTTAACATTACAGCTAGTATGCTCATAACAGCTCTTCAGAGATGTATCTTACACTCAAGAGATACTTCCTAAAGGATCTGCGGACAAATTTTTTTACATATGACTATGAAAAACTCTTTATTGGGTATAAATGCTTGAAGGTTTCTTTACAGTCAACTCACTTTTATCCTGAGTCTTCAGTGGGTTACAGATGTCTTCTAGAGTAACTTGTCGTGCCTTGGTCTTCTTTTCACAGGGTTCATTGCTTTCAGTTGACGTTCTCCTTTTTGTGCCAAATTCAGAAGCCTGAAAACATAAATTAAACAAAGAAGTTCAGTTACTTTTTCTCTTTGCCATCCTCTATGAAAGACAACAACGCACCCAAGGATTTCATAAAGAGATAATGCAAAACGCAAAATTAATTTACAATATGTGAAATCCCCTAACTATTTTAACTACCTATATTTTTTGTTTATAAAACAGTTCTTCTAACATTCAACACTACAAGAGGAAGAGTAATAGTGCATTCTGTGAACAAGTTGGCTGTTCTGCTAGAAAAGAAACACCTGCAGCTACCATGGCTTCAGAAGGCAGCTTAGAGCTACTTCTGTGGCAGAGACCTGAACCAGCACTGAACAGACTTTCCCATCATACCACACGATACCACCCTGTGTCTGAATCAGACCTCTTCTGCAAATCCTCATGCCCACAGTTCCAGAGCCCTCTTCTTGCCAGACACTGGCTATTCACCTCCAAAGGCACTACTTCCTATGGCCTACATCCCAATGATGGAGGAGTACCTTCTCCACACCATCCTGGAAGTGTTAATCAAGACTTAAAAGATTTTCCTAAACTATCTGTAAACACCTAGCTAGCATGATCCTGGGTTTGTTCAGAATACAGTACTTTTGACTACTGCTCCTTAGATGGCTTTTGACACATGCACTTTTAATGCTTCGTAAACAGAAAATTCATCAATTTATGTTGTTTCATCATTGATGTATTATTTGACAGAATGCAAGAAGTATAAACAAATATAAAGAAGACATTTGCAACTGCAACAATGTACAAACACATTATCATTTCACTTTGCGGACAAATACACAACAGCTGCTTTTAGCAGCTTGTATCCGCATTTCATATGGTAATCTCGGATGGTTTAAGTGTATTACTGGGGAAGTTCAATCTCCTTATAACTAAGGAGGAACTCCACCCTCAGCAACTAAGCCCATAACCTCTACGTAGTGTATCCATATGCACAGCCCACATGAGTAGCAAAATATTTCCCTTCCAAGTCCACTATTATATACCACCAGATCAACGCTAATTAGGAAGCATGGACAGAAAGAGGTATCACACTTTTCAAAATATATTTGGACCAAAGATAACACAAAAGGTTGACTTGAGATACACGTGAAAAAAAGCATACAACTTTCCAAGGCCAAAAAGGACTAGAAACATTAACTACAAGAAAATACAAACTCAGAATGAAATCCAGTCGCTGAGCGACAGCAATTTTTTCCCAGCAGCGATATGGAGAGGCTGCTGGATCACCGCAGGCTCTCTTGGCCTCGCACCTAACAGCGGACGAAGAGCCATCCGAGCTCCATGATCTGGGCCACGAGCTCAGCCCACGGCATGCCAGGAGCAGAACCTGTGCCAGCAGGTCCAACACTACTGCGAGGGAGCGAAGCCCCTGTGACACAAATCGGCACATTGGCTTTGCCAAGCTCACCGTACCCATGTCAAGCTTCAGTTCCTACAAAACGGGTATATCCTGGCTGTTTCCTGAAAGGCTAGGTATCGCTACCCTGTGTCGCGCAAGGCAAGGATGCTACAGCAGGCGTTGGCGACCGGGGGGCCGCCGTAGGGCACCCCTTGCTGCAGCAGGGCCGTGGCCAGCTCCCGCCATCCCTTCTGACAG